TCACTTCACTATGTTGACCCGGAGCCAAATTTTCAAACGGACCTTTACTCTCAACAGGGATTTTATTGGATAGATGTCCTCCAAGGGGTTATCTGTGATTCAACTATTGAAAGAGAAGCCGGAGAGGTTGATGTTATTGCTGGAGATGATTGGGGTTGGCCTGCATCAAGATCTTAGGCACTAGTTGCTATTCAATCAGCTATTTGTGGTGTTATGTGTCCCAATTCTTGTTCTGCAGACACAGTGATCTTCTTGAGGCACGAACTAGAGTTGGGTTCCTCGGCATAAACTAATCTGGTTTAGGCCAAATTTCCTAAACATGGTTTTCGTTGAATTGGTTGCGGACCAAAGACACAACGAGAAAGTGAAGTCATGTAGATGAAATGTGTATTTTGTGCAAGCAGGAGCCTGAGACTAGGGATCCCTTGTTTCTCACTTCCCATACTAGTTTACACATACTAGAAAACGGCTAAATTTTCAACCTTGGCATAGTTTGGATGTCCAGACACCTGTTTTCGAGCCCTGGAAATTGGGCACCGAAAGTCCAATGCACCTTGGAAACTGGTCAGATGGCCAGTCCACAAGTATCGGATGTGCAATTCACAATCACCAAAAGTCAGAGGTCCGGTTTGCACAGCCCGATGCTTGATTCTGAACCACTTTGCTGTAAGTAAAGAAATAGACAAGACAAGATTACTACAAAGTGGCGTTATTCTCATGGACTATACCTGTTGTTGTTGGGAAAATTCCCTATGTTGGTTTAACAATGACAGAGACAATTAAAGGCTACTGATGTGTGTATTGGTGTAGTACCAAGTGATATATACACAAACCATTAGACAAATGATATACCATCATGTGTGATTCCGAGTGCTCTGTCATAGTCTGAAATGATCTGCCGATATAAAAGGAACACTGCCAATATATGAGGTGAACAAGGTATTGGGCATAGAGATATCTATATGCTCGAAGGATATCTAAAAATGTGAACAAGTTGACAGGACCTTAATCGAGGGATAATTGAAGAACGGGGATGTTCATAATGGCTTGGAAGGACCAAGATAAAGGTGAATAGTTAGATGGACATTGGTGATAGTGAACAAGTCTAGAATTGTGATGTTCATTGAAACTTGGAAGGACCACACTTGTGAAGGTAAATAGCTTGGTAGAGTCATAATCATCAATATGTTTGGAAGGACTAGAAGATAGAAATGCAACGGATAGTTATTGGGATAATAGATTGTTGGCTAGAGTAATTTTCTTCAAATGAGGTTGGAAGACAATGACAATACCAATAATCTAGTGAGTTCAGTGAACAAAGGAATCAATAGTGATGCTGATGTCCTTGGAGGTCTTTGGAAGCTGACTCGATCAATTAGTGAAGACGAGGAATCAATGGGGATCCTGATGTCCTTCGAAGTCTTTGGAAGCTGATGAAGCCAAGATGATCATTGGATGATTGATCAGAAGTCATTCCACACGAATTTGTAAATGGACCTCATAAACAAACTGATGATAATCAGCACCTTTTTTTGGGTAAGGGATCGAGCTGATATCAAGTCCCGAAAGGTGCTGGCCATCTGCTCATCTAATTGGAACGTTGATCAAGATGACACTAGCCATTACAAAGGCTTGTAGTTCGCATCGGGAGTACTAGAGATAAATCAAAGCAGTTATGGCAATTATAATAGAAGACAAACACTGATAGGAGCAGTCTGACAAGTTTAGGAAACTGCCACTAATAGAGAGGGGCCGTTCTGCTAATTGTTACGTAGAACCAACAGCTACTTCATGGAGTTGAGTTGCAAATGGTTATCTAAGGTTGGATGGCTATATATTCAATCCAAGAGAAGTAGTGAGGTTGGGTGGAAACGAACAAACCGAGTATATAGCTCTTGAGTCTTCTTCTTTGCTTTGTTAGCAACTATGTTGCTGATAATGTCTTTGTGTGGTGCTACTTAGTTGTAATCATAGTAGAGTCAAGTGTATAAGTGTAAGAGCAGTGGTTGTATCCTGATAGTGTGATCTATCCTGTGAAAGAAACAACACTTGCCAGTTGTAACTTGCAGTATTGATTACTTGTGGATTCCAGCCTTGTTATGGTCGTTAGTCTTGGAAGTGGACGTGGGCTTAAGGATAAAGCCGAACCACTATAAAACTCAACGTGCTATCTTCCATTTGTTTTACTATCAGCTCATCCGATTATGTTCTTTTGTTCATCAGTAACACTCCTAATTACATTAAACTATTTATGCTGATAGTGAAGTTTAACTTGCCGTATTTCATAAAAGTTCTTTATAATTTCTCATTCAACTTATTCATCCCCTCTAGATTGTAATGTTATCTCCAATAATTTGTATCAGAGCCTCATTGCTCGTTATTAGAAGTTCTTTTATTTCTTAGCATAAAAATAATGTTATGGCTAACTTTACGAGAGGTGTTTTTACAAGTTTCTATTTGTTGATTATCTGTTCTTTAAACTCAAGATTTCAGGAATTACTTTGTTACTTTGAAGGATTTCTTTGTTTTGAATCGAAGTCTTCCAAATTTGTATTTTACTAAAGGATCTTCATTACTTTCAAAATTTCACAAACCCTCCTTCTTGGCTTTGAAAGAGTTTTCTAATTACTTTGATTAAGTTCTTTGGATAGAAGATCATCCCAGTTCAAATGAGCAGTCTTACTTTCTAGTAATGTTGTTTATGAAGATTGTTCTTTAACAAAAATTTGTTCTATCTCGAAGTCTTTAGTCCGTCTTGTTCATTTCTCAACCTACACGATCTCACCACAAGCAAGAGAAAATATAACCAGAATTCTATTTCATCAATGTGTTCATCCACGACAATTAGCACATCTATTTCAAATGATATGTTAGGTGCAACAAGATCGATGATCGTGATGAGCAACCAAATGGTTGGAAACAAAGCAAACAAGAAGGCCATGATAGCAAGAGCAATCACTATTGGAAGAAAAAGAATGGAGCTCCTACACTCGCATATGCGACTAGAGAAGAACAACCTCAAGTTCCACTTACTCCTATCCTTCACAATATTCAGAGAAGACCTGCACTAATTGCTTAAAGTTATTTACTTCGTACATTGTGCATTGTTTCTGAAAGTTATGAGTATTTCTTCATACGTGATAGTTAAAGAGATTTGGGATCAACTCCAAAGCCACATTTGAAGGAATCAATAGAGTAAGGGAAATGAAGTTGAACATTTTGATTGGTGATTACAAAATAGCATCAGAAGTGAGGTAAATAAGAACATTGCTGATAATCTACAGAAGATCACCAAATATGATCCTATCCAAATGTCAATGCTATCAACGAATGATTTCAAATAAGCATTGATAAAACTCGGATTCAAAGGTATAGTATTTGGTAAACATCTACCTTGAGTAAGAGAATCAAATTTCATGATTATCCTCTAACTTGCTAATCTTGATAACGCAAATGCTTGACAAGAATATTATAGGGAGATGTTTCGTGGCGTTGTTCTCGTGACTGTAGCAGGCATTGTTATTATTGCTTGCTACAACGTTGTTCTTTGAATTGGAGTGGAAAGCAAACAAAGGGAGGACAATGCAATGGCTTTAAGTTCCCAGCGTGCGACAACTTCGGGGCTAACGTACTAGGGGTTCTCCACGATCTAGAGATAAATACGGCCGATCAAAGTTATAACTACTATGCTTCATCTCCGGATGCTGATGGCACTAAGTGCTACGCCCATGCGACTTGCAATAATGATCTTACGCCGGGGGATTGCATCACGTGTCTATCGTATGCTAACGACTACATAATCCACGAATGTTTTCTGAGCATCGGCGTTCAACTTGAGGTGACGGACTGTAGAGTTAGGTACGAGCAATACCCATTTACTGAGTAAATCAGTAGTTCTTCGCACATGAATTTGAAGCTTGTGTGCAAAACGTTGAATAATTGAAAGCAATGGAGTTTGTTCAATAGAGAGAGTGCTTCTAGTGGATGTTGAAAGTTATAAAACATAGTAGAATGCGTTTGCTATATCATGGCTGATGCGGTGTAATGCAAAACTTCTCTCCAACCAAGTCTTTGATTGGTGAGTTTCAACAGACAGACACATTTGATTTTGGTTGAGTTTGAATATGGGTGATGTCTATATCTCATGACCCACTTTCGGAGACGTGGTTGAATGGAGTTTTCTTCGGTCCGGATTGGAGGAAATTATTGCCGTTACAAGATTGTACCGCCACTAAACAACATTAGAAATTAAATTACGGTGGCATTCGTACCTTCCTGTGTGAAAACCTATGGGGGATGCAATCTAGATTAGGATATGAATAGAATGTTACCTTGGTGTCGAAAGAGCAGATTGAAAAATTAACCAAGATCAATGGGATCAAAATTCAAAGTCATGCAATTTCTTGTAAGTGGTCCACTTGAGCTATCACAACAGTGTGACTGCATCTGAGATTTATCAACAATCGAAGTGAACAATGGTCGGAAACGAGTACAACACCTGTCTAGTATTCGTCACCGGATGCGACAGGCTTGGTACAAGTCCACGGATGAAGGATGCTACCCACCATTACGATCTATTGAAATATCCTGCAGACAAGAAAATGAGAAAACATACATAAGGAACGATTGTCTACTCATCCTTCATCATTGTCCTGTTTACGCTGTCGCCGTTCTTCTCCTTTCTCTTTGGCTTACACTTCTCTTACAAGCTTAGGCATGCTTGCTGATTGCCGATGCACGAGCGCACCAAGCATATAAATCAAAAAGCCACGCTGTTCCTAGCAATTGTTGAATGCTTGCCCAAGTATGAGATAGCAAGATTAATCCCCACTAAGCCAATCCGAGGGGGAACCAAATATGGGTTGTGCATGCAGTGTCATCAAAGCTTCATGGCAGCTAAAACTATCAGTAAAGGAACTCTGACGAAGATCAATTCAATCCACTTTTCAAAAGCATGCAATATCCTGCAACAATTAAAATGGCTACTTAGGCCATCACACTATTATATCTAATCACTACATGTAACATTTAAGAGTAAACAAAGAGAACAATCTATAATTGTTTGTATTGACTAGATCACTGGAATGAATGAGAAAAGAATGATATAGCAAAGGAATGAACCGTCTATCTAGATTTCTCATCAGATATGATGGAGACTCGGTACACCGAGATGAGGATGCCAATTAAACGGCATGGTAACTCACAAAAAGAGCAGAGCAATTTACGCTGCTCAAGACCAATCTAACTATGGAGTGTGGACAATCCACCATAATATTTTGACACAGAAGCGTGAAAACAAATGAAATGAATTTATTTCACGGAAACACTCATTTCTCCTCATCATCACCGGAGCTTTGTTTGCTAGATTGCATCTGAATTAGCTGCTGCTGTTCCTCCTCATTCTCTTTGGCTTCTACTTGTTTCTCAGGCTTAGGTTTGCTTGTAGATTGCTGATACATGACCCCTCCAATCATACAAATCAAAAGCCCCACTGTTCCCAGCAGTTTTGAATGCTTGTCCCAGATAACAAGATTAATCACAACTGTCAATAGCTTGTTTACAATGCCAAGCACTGTAAATCCAGTGGCAGAAATTGCCCTCCTACAGGAGAACCCAAAGAATGAAATCGCTAGACCAAATATGCACGATAATCCCACGGGCAAAACCACCTGAAAGGAGTACCAATCCGACTCATCGGTGATTTCATGCTTTATCTTCTTCAATTCACCCATTATAAGAAGCTCCAGAGGAAACAGTAGAAGAGCCTCAAGATTATTATACAACACAAGACCCCACGTATTTAGTCCGATGGTCATGACCACATGCTTGATGTACACAAAATCTATGGACATGCTCACAAGATAAGCTAGAGCCCAGCTGTATGCCATGAATGTGAACTGATAATCTGTAAGCACATAAAGAATACTTCCACCAAATATGGTGGCCAATGAGAGCCATGTTTTCATCGAAGGCCATGGTTGATGCAAGAAAAGAGTCTCTCCTATGGCAACAAACATGGGAACTGCAGAACGGAAGACGATGAATGTATCAACATTGGCATGGAGGAGGAGCTCACTGTTGGTGAAGAGAGACAGGTAGAAAATTATAGCTGCAGGCAGAAACCGCCACATGGTCACTAGACCAAGTGAATCATGCTCTATGAGCTTCAACCGACCACAGACAAATACACCAGCAGCACTTGTTAAGTACTGCAAAGCAGTCAGAGCACCAGGGTAAGGGAACTTCATAACTGCCCATTTATTGATGATTGAGAGCAATGATGCTGAGATGCAGTACCCAGCAGCTATACCATAAATTGAGGCTTGGTGAAGCAAAGCATTGTACCAAGAAGAGGCTCCAGTATCAACTAGAGCCTCCTCAGCTTTTGGATTTTCCACATCTTTATTAGTAGACATCCTGTGGAAAAGGAAAATATCAAAAACCCATTTTCCCCCTATAGTAAACGTGCTCTCCAATTTTATAGCCAGATATCAAACAAATAAACGTGAAACGAAAGTATAGTAACTTCCTGAAAGAAACGTTTAGAGGAAATGCTACTAAGTTGCAACTCGATACGCACTACATGTATATGCAAGTAAAAAATTCATCACCATCTACACTATTGAGCAGTTTTCTTTTGCAAGTAATAATTTCTATTCCAATTAGTTCCAATCAACCAAAAAGGTGTCAAGAATAGAAATGAGGAGACAATTCCCATTCCATTGACTTTAGTCCCAATTACTAAACAAGCCCTTAGGGAATTTGGCTTTGGGTCAGGTCATAGAAAGCCAAACAAATTAGCAGTATTTTGCCCTGTCCCAAGAAAAATGACCTATGAACACCCCATATAAATGAAGCAGTGGCAAAGAAAGGAGATGAAGAATCAGATAGACTAACCCGAGAATGATTCTTCGGATGAGGTGAGGCAAAGAGTAGAAGGGTTTTCAGGGGGCTTTAAAGCTTTAAGTCTGCCAGTTTTCTGCTTTTTGTTTTCCCACCTTCCTAAGCGGTTTAGAATTTCTAATTATTATAAATAAAATTTTTAATTTATTTTTAGCGCGAGTTTTGGTATAAAGTTAAAGATTTGAGATGTTTAATATCAACTAAAATCAAACTTTAATAGTTAATGAAAACAAGCTCAAAGCCACAATATCCCCAAACAACACCTAATATTATTTGTGATTAGAGCCTTCGCCATTGAGCCTTTGCTGAACAGAAGTGACTCCTCCACTTGAAAAGAAAAGAAGAAAAGTTTCAAATGGTTTATATGAGGAAAAATGGGCAACTGTTTTCATCAACTCAAATTATTTAATTAACTCTGGCATGATTATTCACCACACGAAAAACCCACCGGTCCCACCCTCACTAAAACGTGACTACATGAATTACCCTTATAAGTAGAACTCTCGGAGATAACAGATATCAAAAGGCACCTTCAACTTCTAGAAGAGGTTGAAACGCCAATCCAAGTTTTGGCCACGGTCTAAACCAAGGAACCAACCGTGTACACTATATAACTGATAATGGGTATTGAAAAGAAGCATAGAAGACACAATAACCCAGCGCCATTCTCTCACAGCACCTCAAAATCTCCCGGCAAAACATGCAAAAGCTGTAAAAATAACTTCATAGCAATAAAAAGCGAGGCTCATCACCTCAAGGAAGACCAAAACCGGGTATCTGCTAACTTATCACGCCGATACAGTAAAAAGAAACAATCAGAAGATCAAGGGCTCTTGCAATACAGCAAAAGAAGCACTCATTTCTCTTTGCAAAAGTAAGGCATTTGGCAAGCGGGCATCGGTACTTCACGCTTGAGCAAGTGAAATTTGGGGGAAAGTGAAGATTGCACCATGCCCAATATGGCTTTTTTACAGGTTGGGCACTCCAACACAAGCATGCCCCATACCAGCAAGAGGTGCGCAAGATTTCGACGTCAGACTTCGAACAGAGCAGCAACGGCTCCTACCCATAACCTCTCCTCGACCTCGTCAAGCCCATAACCAAAACCCGTTCGCGCCAATCATCCCAACAAAAAGCACCCCCAGAAACGTCGCAACCCTCGCAACGCATTCCCAAAACCGAACTAATTCGAAAGAAAGAAACTTACCCTCCGCGCCTCGCCTCTCCCCGCGTCGGAATCCCAAGAGCGAGAGGCTGAGCTGCCGATCGGCTCTATCGCGCTCCGATCTCGCGAGCGAAGATCCGACACTGCCGCAGCATGTTCTCCTCCCAAATCTTTCGCACCCGAATCCTTCCCTTCAGCGCCCCGGGGGGGGGACTCCGAATCTCTCGGCGAGATCGAACGACGGAGGGAGGGGGACGGGGATCAATGCCGGACCCGGGAATCGTCGGATTCGGACTCCGGCAGGGGCGCGCGAGGGGAGCGAGATAGATCGGCGGGGAAACGGCGCGCGATCGAGCCTCGGGTCCGCGATTTTCCTCCTCCTCCTCCTTCTTCTTCTTCTTCGGCAGTTCGAGCTCGCGGTTTGGCGAAAGGAGAAAGCCCGAAATGCTTCAGCCAGGAGCGATGCAGCGAGATAGAGAGAGAGAGAGTGAGTCCAGCTGGAAAGCGGAGAGCGAAACGGCGCCGTTTCTGCGAGGAGGGAGAAAATATTGGGTTGTCGCGGACCGCCAAGTCAGCGTGGTCCCCTACCACTCACGCGGCGCCGCGTGGTCCACGCAGCGCGGGTGGGGCCGGCGGGCCAGGCCGCATTTTGTGCACGAAAAATTAATGTTTTTTTTTCCCTTTAGCCCTGCACGCCTAGTCTGCCCGCTAAAAACCTTACGCCCCTTCTTTCAAGTCTCTCCCCTCTCTCTCTCTCTCTCTCTCTCTCTTCATTAATGGCAGCCTCACCCTCCTTCTCTCTCCTCCTCCATCTCCTCAGCGCTCCCCCTCTCTTCTCAAACGAAGCCCCGCCCAATAGCGGCTGGGTCCCGAACCTCTGACCGCCGTCGCCTCCACATTGTCTGATCACGAGTGGATGTCCTTGAAGTTTTGCTACAGGGAGGCGCAAGTATTAGAAAGAGATTTTGCTTTTTGGGCCTTATTTGTTTTTTTTTTTTTTTTTTTTTATCTTGCACCCTTTTTGTCTTCGATAAAGTGGTGATGCCTGTAACTGAACTGAGCTAAACTCGCCAATGTTCTCTGGAGCCTTAAGTATAATAGGTTTTAGCCTGCACATAATTTGGTTGAATGTTGTGGTCCTCTGTGTAGCGGAACTACTAGCCGAACAAATTGTCAGAGTTGGCATACTTGGCCTTGTATCTAATGTATGAGGGAAGAAGTCTTTCTGGTACCCTTACATAAGGGAGCTTGATCATCAGCGAGGAAGGGGCCAGATGGCATTGGAATCTCCGCTTTTGTGGGCAGAATCTGAACTTGATTACTTAACAGGCAGTCCAACAAAAGTACTACAGTGCTATGTTTTGTGGTTGCTCTGTAATAAATACTTGGACAACTACATCAAAGTTTATTTATTTGTTTTATGTTTCAAAAGTCTGAAACTTTACATTCTGTGTCGAGGCATCAGGCCGAAGTTCTTGAGAGGGCTGAAGGGATTAGAAGAGAATACCATGAGCTCGACACTGTTTGGTTTATGGCTGGTTCTTTGTTTCAGGTAATAATTTTTGCTCTTATACTTTGTCTGTCCAGTTCCTATCACCAGTAATTTTCTTTTCTGTACTTTTGCCAGTAATTATGCTAGCTCAGTGAGTCTACTTATTTTGATTTTGTAGCAATACCCTCATGATATTCCGACTGAGGCCTTTCCGTTTGAGATTTTCAAGCAAGCCTTTGTGGCAATTCAATCTTGCGTGGTGCATTTCCAGGTGCTGCTCTCCATACCTTTTGCATGGGGAAATAAGCAATGTTGCTCTCACTAGATAACTTACATTTTGTAGTTGTTTAATCAGATGACTCCTGTTTGATTCAGAAAGTCAGTCTTGCGCGAAGATTTGCTTTAGTTCCTCTTGGTCCCCCATTGCTAGCATATAGAAGCAATTGCAAGGCAATGCTGATGGCTGTTGATGGTGCTGTTGAACTAGTAGCTGATCGTGCATATAAGGCTGGAGAACCATTAGCTGTTTGGTATGAATTCTTCTCTTGCTGAAGTTGGCTTTTCAGTGTAAAATCGAGGTCTTCCTTCTTTTCTTGCTGATCCTTATGGCATCCTTGTTCTGCACTTCAATGCAATCTTAATGGTTGTTATATTTGGTCTAAGGTGTGGACCGCAGCCTAACTCAAGATTGCTTTTGAATTACAGTTTTGTTGATGAAGATAACTCTTATGATCGGCTTGGGGTTGAGGTAAAAGTGGCTGCTCTTTTCCGTGCCATTTCATCATATGCTTGTCAAACATTCTGATATGCTTTCCTCCTTCTTGTCTGTTTAGGCTTCTTTGAATACTGAGGATCCTCAATATCAGGATAAAACAATGGTTGCTCAATGGAACGGAAAGCTTTCGAAACAAGTTTTTTATGTATGAAACTTTTTGCAGCAAATTAGTAGCTTGGATTTGCCTCTCATGAGTATTGCATTGCTTTGTTGTGCTGGTGTACGCCAGAAAGGAAAGGGAAGCTGTGTTTGATATGCTTCCTTATTTGCGATTGGGCTATGTTTCAGATCCTTCGGATATGCAGTCAGTCATTTCATCCCAAGGTCCAATCTGTCCGGTAAGTTTCATCCTTTGAAATCAATTTTAGTTTTGAAGTGCTCTCATGTTGTGGTTAATTCATATATCATTTATCTAGCATTTAGCTTATATAGTCTGAATAACAGATTAAACTCTGGTGGATTACACGTTAGTTTTTGGCTACTTTTTTGGTTTTTTTGGTTTTTCTGATTCTCGATGCATCTCCTAGAGTGACCTCATGTGTAGTTCACTGATACTACTCCATGTAATACTGTTTGTATATCCAAAGAGAAGAGGGTTCACTAATAATGTTTTTCTTTAGAAGCTTCGTCAGTCTTCTCATGTCATTTTGGCAAGAATTAATTTGTGAAATGTCAAATGTTTTCTTCAGGTGAGTCCTTGCACAGAGAGGGCTGTCTTGGATCAACTAGTTGAATATTTTGAGTCACGTATTGCTGGCTATCCTACAATCTTGAGCGAAGATGAGTCTTTGGTAATTTGACTCTGTTGTACTCCATTTTATTTCTTCAACTGCTCCACATTTTGTGCAAGTACAGTGGGAAAGATGGGTATGGCTTTATCAAAAATGAGTTGAAGTGGAACCCCACCTCAGTGGGTTTTGATGCAGGCCTTAAGACAAGAGTGTGCACTGTGTTTTAGGTTCAAGGAAGACGTGCACTGGTTCCACGATGAAGAGACTCTCGCTAGGCCTCCCTTATTCCTTACTATTGTTAAAGATGCTAACTAGTCCCCTGTCCCTGCCCCTTTCCTCATAGCAGGTCTTTTGTGTGACTTTCATGTGAAGTGTTCATCTTTTTATGAGGCAAGAAGATGTTATTTTGCAGGCACAATTTGCTTTGTAAATACTAGTGACGGATATTTCCTTGCTGCCTTTTTATGAGGAAACGGCGCGCGATCGAGCTTCGGGTCCGCGATTTTCCTCCTTCTTCTTCGGCAGTTCGAGCTCGCGGTTTGGCGAAAGGAGAAGCCCGAAATGCTTCAGCAAAGAGAGAGAGAGAGAGAGAGAGAGAGAGAGAGAGTGAGTGTGTCCAGCTAGAGAGCGGAGAGCGAAACGGCGCCATTTTTGCGAGGGGGAAGGAGGGCGACTTTAGGGGTCGTTTGGCAAGTTGCAAAATAGTGAAAATTTCTGTTCTTTTGTTCGCGGAATCAGTTTGGGAACAGAAATCCGTTTGTTAAAATTTTTGTGCCCGGGCGCAAATTTGCAAAAAATTATTCCCAGAACCAGTTTCGGAACAGAATCAAGAAGCAAAAAAAAAAAGTAGCTTCTTGATTCTGGAACAATTTTTCCATTTCTGATTCTTCTTAGTTTTCTCCTTTTTTGGTTTCTTCTTCTTCTTCTTCTCGGTTGCCGCTGGTGAGGGTGTCGCGGCCCTCGCCGGTGGCTAGCGAGGGCGGCTCGCGATCGTGACGGCGAGGCTTTACACAGCCATGGCAAGGCCGACCACGCCAAATCTGGCCAAGGTCGAGCCTCGTCCGGCCAAGGCGAGGTTGACCTCACCGTCGCCACCCCCTGGCGACGGCGAGGGCGGCGGCGAGGGCCGCAACGCCCTCGCTGGCCCTGGCCTGTGGCCGGTCGCAGACGCCAGCGGCCGACCATGGCCAAGGAATGAAAGGAAAAAAAAGAAAAAAAAGGAGAGAAAGATAAAGAAATATTAAAAAAATTCAAGAAATTATTAAAATATTATTAATAAAAAGAAAATTTGTGTAGTTACCAAACGCATTTATGTTCTTTTTTCTATTATAAGAATAGAAATTTTGGGCAGTTGTCAAACGCCTTCAAATGTTTAGAAATCGTTTTCGAGCACAGAATCAAAAATAATCATTTCTGAGCAGAATCAGTTTCCGGGTACAAAATCGTTGCCATGCGCACCCTTAGAGGTGTGTAAAGGAACCGGGATCGGCCCGGAACCGGCGGTTCCTGTGGGGACCGGTCCGATTCCTGGTTCTAATTTACTAAAACTAGTGAGTACCAGTCCAGTTTCTGGTTCTAGGCGTGGAACCGTCCACCCGGATCGGACCGGTAATATATATATATATAATTTTTAAGAAAATTTCAACCAAAAAAAAAAGAAAACACTTTTAGAAAAGTGAAAACCATACTTCCATCAACTCACGGTCGCGCTTTTAGCAGTTCATCGCCTCTCTCTCTCTCATTCTCGGTCACCTCCATTTGTGTGAAACTTGATGGGACCGGTTCCATGGACCCACCCGAAAATCGGACCGGACCGGCGGTCCGGTTCCCGGATGATTTGGTTTCAATTTCTTGAAACCGGTCCTTAGCGGGCGATTCTCGATTCATCTTGGGAACCGCTCGCCCGGACCATGCTCACCTCTAAGGCGAATCATCTTGAAATTGGATTTTTAATTTTGCTATGAAATAAATATTAGCACGTGTGAGGGAGATGCAACTCCTCTATCCTCTTCAGTAATGATGACACAAAAGGTCCCCGATGTATGATGCGACTTCTAAACTTTTAGTTTGTTTAATACAGTCCGTGAATTTTAACCCGTTGTGCAATATTGTCTCCAAACTTTTGATTTGTCCGATATGGTACTTGAACTTTGGGTATATGTTCGAAGTTTTCCCTAAACTATATAAAAATGTTCAATACTGTCCATGATGTCCATGAACTTGAATTGATCAAAGGACAGCATTGAAAATTTTCATATATTTCAATGAATAGATTGAACATGTACCAAAGATTCATGAAACATATTGAACAAATTAAAAGTTAATGGGCTACACTCATATTACACATTTGGTCAAAAGTTTATGGACCATTTATGTCATTTTCCAAACTCTTTTTTGATTATCCATTAGAAGGAATATACACATCTATACATTTGCAAGAATATGAAAAAAAAAAATGCAGTAATGGAAGAAAATAATCACGAGTTAATTAAGGAAATAGACTTAAATCGGTGTAGGATAAGGAAATTTACTTGCGTTTGGATCTTATACACGAGAGATTCATTGAGTAAATATGATAATTTTCTTCGCATTTTAAACTACAATCTTGTCCATAGTTTGGTAATACGTGAGCATTATATAAATATATTTTATAGAAAAAGAGCATTATTTATATTATCAGCTAGTATGGGGTACTTTTGGAATTTTAGGTGAAAGTTTGAAATTGAAAGCTTTTTTAGGTTTGCTTGATTATATAATGGAAGAGATGCTAAAGATTAATTGCTGAAATATTATGAAGATCCACATAATTACTTTTCCCTTTGGTATTGTGTGTGTAAATATATATAAGTATATAGTATTTTTTTTTATCTGTCCTAACCTAACTCTCAACTCACTTTCAAACTTTTGTCATGTCTCTTTGTAAAATGTGAGAGTCGAAACCCACATCTAAAACAACGCGTCCCCATCCTTAGCCTTTTGAGAAGGTAGGAAATCGAACTCATCACCTGCCCTTCCCAAGTAGGAAAGGTGGTCACCCAGTGGTTATACAAGTATATAGTTGACAAGAGAAATTAAGTACCAAACTAATATGTGAATATCTTTTAAGAAAAAGTGACAAAAAATTTTAAACTATGTCCGTTGTGACACATACATCCATAACAATTTTTGTGACATCAAAAATCCCAAATTATGCCCACTCTTTTTTATATCAGTTAACCAAAGTGGACGTCATATCAATATTGATTGCTTTCTAATGTTCATGTAGGTGGATTTTTAACGGTTTTTCATTGACAGAATTTGGAGAGAGGGTAATTATTTCATATAGGTACAAATTTGGGAATTTTGATCTCGCAAAAAAAGTTTAGGCCAAATTTCACAACAGGCATAGTTTAAGGTTTCTTATAACTTTTGCCCATACTTTTTTACCTTTGAAGTGCAGGCAAGTTTGGATTTTTCCGCTTTTGGCAAAAATCCAAATGGGTGGTTGGATTAAATCTCAAAAATGATGCATTTTTCCTTTTAATCGGGAAGTAAAATTTAGGTCGCTCGACTTTATTCAGAAATATTTGAATTTAGCACGATAAATTAGGTCTGTTAGATTGATGGATTGGATAAGGTATAGATCGGGTCGAAAATATCAGGAAAACGATACAAATGGTCCTTGAATTTTGGCCAAATATGCAATCTGATCTTTGAACTTTAGCTCAATGTGCAATTTGTTTTTGAAGTTTTATTTGTTCCTGATTTTGAATTAATGGAAGAACGATATTGAACATTTTTTAATATATACTAAAAATCCAAGGACCGCATTAAACAAATCAAGAACCACGCAAAAAATTATGCTAAAGTTCAAGGACCATATCGAACAAATTAAAATTTCACGGATCACATTGTATATTAAGCTAAAGTTCAGAAATCATTTGTGTCATTATCTCAAAATGGTCTGACTCAAATCTATTAGAAAAGGTAAATTAATCATGATCTTGGAAAAGTTTAAGGATTATGCAGTAGGATGATGATGAGAAAATATTCAGAGGTTTACACACGCCACATCACGTGCCTACGTGGCGTGCGTAAACTCACGTGGACCACTGATAATAGGACATGTGGCTGTGACGTGGAATAAAAAAAATAAAGCTATATTTGGTTTCTCTCTCCTCTGACGCCGTAGGATAGAAGACCCTCTCTTCTCTGTGCCTATAGGAGGAGGCGTGAGCATGGAAGTGAAGCAATAAGGCTCCGTTCGTTTGGCGGAAAATATTCTCCTTTTGGAAAATATTTTCTCGGAAGTCATTTTCCTGGAAAATGTTTTCCCGGAACATAATTTTCCGATGTTCGGTGACCAATATGAAAAAGTTTCGGAAAATATTTTTCGCCGGCGACCGGCGGCGGCGTTCGGCGGCGGGCGGCCGGCTGCGTCCAGCGGCCGGCGGCAGCGGCAGCGGCGGCCGGCGGCCAACGTTCGGCGGCACGGCAACAGCGAGCGGCCAGCCGGCGGCCTCGGCCGCGACCGACGGCGGCGGCAGCCGGCGACCTTAGTGAAGAAGAAGAAGAAGAAGCTCCGGAAAATGATTTCCGCTTTTGAAGAAGAGGAAGTCATTTTCCGTAGACTTAGGCTATTTTGTGAGGGGGGAAGGAAAATATTTTCCCACGGAAAACATTTTCCGCCCCCCGAACACCGGAAAATATTTTCCGGGAGAATATTTTCCGCCAAACGAACGGAGCCTAAATGCGTGCATTAATTGCTGTGTCTCTCCCCCTCTCCCTCTCTTTTCTCTTTCACATTAGTTTGAATTCCATTACTTTTTCACTCTTCTCCTTCCCTTCCCATAACGCTTCTTCTCGTCTCATCCTTGTTCTTAGCTTTTCTTCTTCACTTTCGTCGTCAGTGGCTCCGGAAATCACCGGTGAAAAGCGGAAGGCCGATCGCAGCGGCTGGGTCCCGAGACCCCTTCCGCCTCCTCCTCCGCCCTCCCGCCTCTCGCCTCCGTTCTCCGCCCCCCGGCTTCCACCTCCCCCCTCCCGCCTCCGCCTCGTCGCCTCAGCCTCGCGGCCTCCGCCCTCTCACCTTCCGCCTCCGTCCTCCCGCCTCCACCTCCCCCTCGCGGCTTCCGCCTCGTCGCCTCCCCCTTGCGGCCTCCGCCTCAACCTCGTGGCCTCCGCCCTCCCGCGCCTGTCCTCTCGCCTCCGCCTTCGCCAGCCTCGCGGCCTCCGCCTCCGCCCTCCCACCTTCCGCCTTCGTCCTCCTGCCTCCGCCTCCTTCTCCGCCCTCCCGCTCGTTGCCTCCCCCTCACGGCCTCCGCCTCGTCGCCTCAGCCTTGCGGCCTCCACCTCCGCCCCCGTCCTCCGCCTCCGCCTCAGCCTCGTGGCCTCCGCCGGAGAAAAGTCGCCTCCGCCCTCCCGCTTCCACCTCCGCAATCAGTCAAATTTTTTTTTTGTTGGTGTTAAGGTTTGACTGATCTTTCCGTATAATCCCTTTTTTTTAGAAGTCTATTAAGTTATATAACCCATTATATGTGGAGATCAAAGTGACTAACTGAGAAAATGATTCCCTCGGAAAGTTTGGAGGAAAAAATAAGACAACTAGAAAGAGAATATATTCTCTTATTCGTGGGTCTCAAATGAGGTAAGCAACTTTCTACACCATGCTTCTTGTTGTTAGTCAAATTTTACTGGGAAAAATTCTATCATTGTGGTTAATTCTATAAGGCAAGCTTTTTTAAGCCACGATTAGTGGAGCTGATAGATTTTGAAAATGATCCACAGGAACATGTAGTGGAAAAAGATTGTTGTAGGTTTTGTTATCTATTACATTTATTTGCTTGGATTACTTTTGTTGATTAAATCTAATCTAATTTTGATTATATGATATTATTACTTTAGTATGGCATCTCGAGGATCTTCAAATTGGTCGGTTGATTTTCCATCCAAGATATGTCCATGTCCTCAAGGGGAATTATGCACGGTAAAAAAAGTGCAAAAAAATCCTATTAATCGAGGAAGGTTATATTATGCTTCGACTTGTAATGTAAGTGTATCAATTTACCATATTGTGCATGTAGTGACATTTGTAATACTTGATATTGCTTTACACTAATTTTTTTTTTCAGACAGATAATTGTCGGGGGTTTGTGCAATGGGTTGAAGATTATATTGAAGAATGCAGGATCTGTTCGCCTAAAAATGTGGACGCAGTCAATTCTGGAGAGGCATCAAGCGAAAATGAAGAATTGGCAATCATAAAAGGAGATTTGAAGTTAATTAGAAGAAAAATAGGCTTTATTATGTCAATGATAATATTATATGGAGTCATCGTATCTGTCCTTCTTGGAATTGTGATTTCTATGTTACTATATAGGTAATTATAGGAGTTAATCTTGATGGTTATGTAGAACTTCCTTTACTTTACTATGATCAGTTTAACAAAAGTTAAGACGTTGGCTCTTATTTCTCATTTTCAACAACAAAGGGCGATCGTGGAAATTGGTTCGTCGTATATCAGTTTACTTTTTCTGGCTTAGAGAGCCTCCGAGTTCGTCAACCATACGATTATGAGTGAACTCCCCAGTTGTTAACAAATGGGTTATTTTTTCATAGGACAATAATGTTGTCTTAGGGAGATGGGTATTCATAGACCTCAACACTAGGAATAAGTGAAGCTTTAGTTAGTGATTTGCGGTTGTTTATATACTTGCTCAAATTCTTCTACAATAACCAAGAATCGTTCCTTCATTATGGAAAGACAATAATGTTTGGAAAAACCGTATTTCTTCTTTGTGCATTCATTTGGAGATTTCATTATCCAATAATTGGTCATGTAAATGGGTCTATCAAATTGAAGTGTGCGTGATATTCGATGTCTGTAATAACATGAACGTGTTTGTTTGATATTCCTCCCAGAGTTATTTCTCTCACGTTTCAAATTCATCGAGATGTTCCAATTTTCGAGCACCATGAATTAGGTTTATGATCACATAAGCGATTGAAGGCAATTTCTGATAAGCTGCCAATACATTTGGAGCTGAATGACAGAGTTTTTTTACATGTCAAAATTTCATATAGAATATACAATTTACAATGACTAACAACAGAAGATGGCATGTTATTAAAACAAAACTGACCATTCAACAGGCCCAACAATCAAGAAAAAAAGAAAATTCTCAGTAGAATCTCAGTGGAAGTTTCAGTCACCTAGCTACCTATAACGGGTTTCTCCCTTCATCAATTTTGATAACGAGGAGATGCTCAAGGTCTGACCCCTTTGGTCCTTCAGAGTATAGTGTCGGGAGATAAGCCTCATACGCTCGGAGGTAACGGGAGACAAAATCTTTAACCTACAAAATGCAAAACTTTTACTCTCAGAATTCAACAATCAGATGGCTGCTGCATGTACAACTAAAACTAGGGCATGTCAAAGACTGATAAACAGGAAAGCACCTCCTCATCAGACATCCCAGGATTTCCGACCTCTCTCATGGCAATTTCTGTATGAAAAGATTTCGCCAAAACGGTTTATACATAGTTAAAATCATGACAGAGAAAATAAGTAACACAGTGAATTTGTAGATGGGATTCTACATTTCGATAGAACATAATGTGGTCATAGGGAAGGTGAGATGCGAGCCTGCAAGCGCCATTGGTAGACACAACTGGTGTCCTCAATCTTGATGACTATCCATGCCTCGACAAATTTGTCCCACGCATCATAATAAGCTTCAAGATTCTTGTTTACAGTCTCTAGCTGTATAACAGACTCAGAAGGTATTAGTCCAGTTATCATACAACAGCATGACGAAAAAAGTCATCCAAACATCTGCAAGATTCCGTGAGTCCCAACCTTTGGATCAACAGCTTTGACTACATTTGCTAGCAAGGGTTTGAATCCAAGCATCCAACCTTCAAACAAAACAGCCTAGAAGACAAGCGGAAGTCATAACATCATTGATGGAATAAAAGAAAATCGAAATTCGAATCTGCAAGAGATGATCAAATCCACAAAAGATCGTAGCCATGCCCACAGCTGAGTCAACCTTTCGTCAGGCATCTTCTGAGAAAGGATAACCCACTAAATAACCCCATCGGTTCTGCTTGCCTTGTAGTTGCCAGTATTTATACTACCAAGTCATTGCGACTTTAACATCTCTATAGCCCATGCCCCTTCTATCGGTTAGAAAAGACATACACAATCGATTTTTCAACTAGTGCAAGTTCATCCTCTCACCATCTTGCTGCCTTTTTGTCTAGAAATATCTTATCGTTAATGGCCCTTCCACTTCTGGCCAAGTCCATGGATCACCTCTGTCACCCTTTCCATTATAAGCAGACTGCAAGGGAGGAGAACTCAGCATTGGTGGCATAAAAATAACACCTGATGTGTAATGTTCGAGCTACATAATGAACTCTAAGGAAGAAACAAGTTTTGACAGAAATCAAGACCGCCAATCTTAAACCCGAAACCATATGCATCGATTCAGAGTATCTACAATGATCATTCGTCAAGTCATTTGCAATGATCATTCATCAACTATAAATCTCCCAGTCCATCCACACTAGACCGTGATGGATTTAGAACAAGAATTAGAGATGCTGGGCACCCTAGAATTATAGACTTGGCAATCGCATTCACTTGGCTTGGCTAGCCAATGGATCCGTGAGCTTCAAAGTGTACCAATGCATTCAAATGAGCATTCATTTCATCTCACATATGGAGAAAACAACACAAATTTTGGGCTGAATTTGCCAAAAGGATCATTTCACTCGGCATCTAAATTGTTTGACTAGAACCACATACAAGATGACTTCACCTCAAGCATCAGGGATACAGAATAACAGCTAAAGCTATTCTACAAAAAATTTGTAAGAATGAACAAAAGATGTAACTATTAACTCAGGTGAATCCTCCATTCAAACCGAACTTAAATAATAACTTCTTTTGATCACAATCCAGCATCTCGCTCATGCTACAGCCGATGTTCCTTTGGCTAAAAAATTTGTAACGTTGCTCAAGTCTTTTTTCAAACTATGGGGAAAGAAGTCGGGATAATCAGCAGCTTCATCGAGTTGTCTCCCCATTATATCAATCAAAAACCTAATCCGAGGTTTTAAAGAGCTGTTAATGCTTTTAATCAGAACTGGAGGATAACCAGTCACCAAATTCGCTATCTACCCATCGTAGTGAATGATCGCCGAAGGTCAATCCTGCAAAAAAGGAAGAGTATCATAATAACTTCATGGCTTTCATTGATGAAATCACAAATTAAACAAGCATCATACCTTGTGTGAGGTGCCTCCTGCGCATGAAGATGGTTTTCTCTTTCGCTTTTCACTAGCGCCCTTCAACCGAGTGTTTGGTACACCTTTTGGTCTTCTCCGAAGGGGATCAAGTATTTGAATTTCATAGTTTTCTACATCTTTAGCTTCATCTCTTTCCACCAAGAAATTAATATGATCATTACCTGTCGAAGATTGCATTTTGTTTGTGATATGGGAGCGAAGACGCAGCAAGGTTGTAGTTGCGAGCTCCTCCGAAACATCATCGTTTGCACTAATATTCATGACACTGAAAGCCAATTGCATCAATCTCTTCAAGCATAATGTTTTTGACTTTACCACAGCATGAGAGCTTTGTCCAACATCACAATAAGTCCCTTGTTTTGCAGCTTTTGTCCACCTCTTCAGAATGTATTGTGAAGGAATGCTCGTAACATTTACATGTCTCAAGATGCATAAAGTATGCCTACACAACCATCTTCGCATTTCAAATAACTTGCAACTACATGTAATGGTTAAATCACTTGAACTAAAACAAACAACATGCCTCCTTTCACTACTTTCAGTTGCCACGATATAAGTGTGCACTGGCTCATCAATTTCCGATCTACAAACACCCACAGACAAAGCATGCAAGAACTCATCCTGGAATTTTCGATAAATGACATGAGTGTATAAATTTGCAACATGTTTCAAAATTCCACTATTTTCAACCATAATCCGCGGCTCTCCTCGAGCACACTCAAAATCATCAACAACTTCAAAGTTGCACATTTTTTCTGCTTGCTTCTCATAATGATTGACAAATTCAGACAAAGTCATGGTCTTGCATGCCATATCTTGAAAGACGTTATTTGTGCTCTCACTTCTTTGTGTGGATCTAATTCCTGCAGAAAAAATATCTTGGCCAAATGCAGGACACCATTTATGATGTAGCTGGTACATGTTATTTAACCACTTGTGATCCCCCAAGCTCCATTCTTGACACATAGCTTTCCAAACATTCTCCATTTCAAATTCATATTCACAACGATACAAAAACTCATGCCAATAGTTATCACGAAAACTCGGATTTCTAAGAAGATGCCCAATATGATGCGTAGCATTTTTCGCAATGTGCCATACACATAAACAATGATTAGTATTCGGAAGAACAGTCTTAATGGCATTCGCCATGGCTTGATCTTGATCGGTGAAAATAGTCTTGGGTGCTTTATTACCCATTGCCTCTAAAAAGGATTGAAATGCCCAAACAAAAGAAGCAATAGTTTCATCCAATAAAAATGCACAACCAAAGAGAACATTCTTCCAATGATGATTCAAGCCAACGAAAGGTGCACATATCATATTGTACTTATTTATACGGTAAGTTGTATCAAATACCACCACATCTCCAAAACTTTCATAGTCTAGCTTGGATACACCATCAGACCAAAAAAAATTGGTCAATCTTTGTTCCTCATCCAGTTGAAATGTATATGAAAAATTGCTTCCATTTGATTGTAAGTAATTAAAATGGTTAATGAGACTTTGACAATCACCCGTACTAATCAAATCCCTTCTCTTCGATTGTAAGAAATTTTGACAATCACGTAAAGTGAAGCCAATATTCTCTTGTCCTCCCGCTTCACCACTTAGGTAGGAGTACACTTTCGTAGCCCTTATACTAGCTCCAGCCATAGAAGTCAAAATGCTTTTATTAGTATCTGTCATGTGCCTGTATGATCTTATTAAGTGTTTCTGATTATCGTCAATGAAAGGATGATTATGATCATCCTTAAACTTGTCGACCATCCAAACTCCATTTTCAATTTTGAATCTTATGCAAGCTTGACATCCAGTTCTCTTTACTGTCCTATAAACATATCTTTGTTCATGAGGTAGGATTGGTAGAGAGTGTCCTTCACAATTACAAAGAAATGTGCATGTTCGCGATATTCCTTTTCTATTGTTTGCCTTTTGTCCTCTTCTCACTCCAAACCTCTTGGAAATTGCATATGCAGTGTATGTCTTACATGCTTCGTCCCCGTTAGCAAATATCATGCCAATTCTAAATTCAAATTCTTTATCGACATTATGCACAATGATATTATCCCCTGTAGCCTCTACAAATTTTTAAAAGAAAATTTCTAATCATTTAAAGAAGGCAGATAAAGTGAAAACAAACTTTAATGCTAAGAAGATGAGTCATACCCATTTTTCCCGAGAACAAATCGAGCTAGCAGCAAAGTACTCGGAATAATCTGTCCAAAATTTGTACAAATGTAAGTTAGTGACCGTAAAAGATTGTGAAGTGTGCATATTTCAATCATAATTTGAAATGAGTGTAATGAAGCATGTCATAATTCCAGTCTATCGAGTGTAATTCTAGGTCTTTGCATTCACAAAAGTTGGCATTTCTGAAGCACGATCACATATTTGGAAGCAAAAGCCTATTGCAATGTCTGTGGTGAACTTGCCAAATCTACACATTTAAAAAATAAAAATAAAAAAACACGATGACTCATAGATATCAAGGATTCTACTGGCGGCAAACCCTCCAGCAAGAAAGATGTAGCAGAAAATTCCCTCGTACACATTTGAAAAAAAACACACACAAATCACATAACATATCTAAAGATAAATCATTTTCAATTTTATCTTTTATTTCAGTACTGATTTGAAATCCAAACTTGAATTTGATTATAGTTCACGTGGAATGTTGAGCCTGTCAAGTGTTTAAATTGGGCTTGATAATGTTAATGAAACTCGTTCATGTTTGAATGTGGTCTTGACCAAAAAGATTTCAGGTCGTGACTAAGTTGAGTTTAATTGTTAGTGAGGTTGATTGACTCAAGTTACCTAAGGCCCCCGTTCAACTTCATCTCGTATATCTGAAGTGGCAGTGATTTGTTATCGAAACTCAGAACTTCACAATCTCTTTGAGGAAAAAATCTCCAAGTTTGCCTTCATCCTTGTTCTCGAGAGATAGATGAAAGACACTGGCGGAAGGTGGGAGGGCGGAGGCGGAGGCCGCGAGGCTGGCGGAGGCCGGAGGGCGGAGGCCACGAGGTTGAGGCGGAGGCCGCAAGGGGGAGGCGACGAGGCGGAGGCTGCCAGGGGGAGGCGGAAGCGGGAAGACGGAGGCGGGAGGACGGAGGCGGAAGGTGAGAGGGCGGAGGCCGTGAGGCTGAGGCGACGAGGCGGAGGCGGGAGGGGGGAGGCGGAGGCCGGAGGGCAGAGAACGGAGGCGAGAGGCGGGAGGGCAGAGGAGGAGGCGGAATTAATGCACACATTTATTGCCTCACTTCCTTGTTCACGCCTCCTCCTATAGGCACAGAGGAGAGAGGGTCTTCTATCCTAGGGGGTCAGGGGAGAGAAAAATCAAATATAACTTTATTTTTTTTATTCCCCGTCACAGTCACATGTCCTATTATTAGTGGTCCACGTGAACTCAGCACGCCACGTAGGCACGTGACGTGGCGTGTGTAAATCACTGAATATTTTCTAGATGATGATTGATAGCAACGTGCCACGTCACTTCTTTCTGATGACTGGTCATCTATGGGAGTTGAAATCCCTTCTTACCAAATACAGCGAGCCTCGCAGATTCGCATGCAAATGGCTCTTATACTCCAGAAATGGCGGCTGGAAGTGACCCGGCATTCCAAACCCTAGCGCTGTAGCCCCCGCCGGTCAACTCCCACCTCCGCTCCGGCCGCCGTCTCCCGTCGCAGGTAACGGCAGCTCGCCGCGGCGGCGTCCCCTTGCCGCCGCGTGTTTTTCCCTCGTAATCTTGCTGTCGAGCGTGACCGGTGTCTGCGAGTGTTCTTTTGAATGGGTTCGTTTTCCCGGTTCGTTTTCCGATCATCTCGCTGTGGCTGGTCGGAAAATGGTTGGAAGTGAAACTGGTGGCTGTGCTCGTTCTATCTTTCTTTTCGAGGAGATTTTGGATTCCAGAACGTGTTGGGTGTTGTTAGTTTCGTCTGAATGTTAAGATTGGTGTCGATTCGATCATGAACTTCCGAGACACTGTCGTGTGTTTGCTTGGATGTCGGAGTTGCTTCAATGTAATGATTAAATTTGCCAAATTGGATGATTTTTTTTATTCCGGGTTATGTGTCTCTCTTATCTTGCATGTCATTTTGGGTTGATTGGTTATCATTCTAATTGTAGTTATCATGGTTAGATACTCTTTTTTGGGGGTATTGGATTAATGTCTATGATGTGAGGAGTTTCTTGATTCCGTGTGATATCATAACTTATCCAGTCCAACTGCAAGCAGTTTGAAATTGGGTCGTCGAATGAGTTGAGAAATTTACAGCATGGATTCTCTTTTCTTTTCGTCTAGTTTTCCTCATTTTTGGGTGAGGAAAGTGTTGTCTCGTTTAATCCCCTTTGCTGAACACGAAGAATAAATCATGAAATAGCTTGATCCACAAGAGGCGGTTGGATATGTTATGCATGTCAAACCCTGTTCTGTTGTACCATCAGTTCAAGCTACTCGTTGTTTCAGTTTCCTCTTAGCGAACGCTTGTGAGCCGTGAGTATTAGCTGGATTCTACTGAGTTCATTGTACTGAGATATGCAGTCGCAAGTGATTATATCTGTGTATTATCTTTTAGAGACGGCAACATGCTACTTCTATCACTAATTTTGTTTGGAGAACTGCTATTATGTCACATTTGACATGATGTGTTTTCCTTGTTACTTGTTTATTAATTCATTAATAGGATTGAAGTGCAGGAATAAGAGGTTTTAAGCCGTTATCCAAAGGCGCTGGGTATGGCATTAGCTCTTAAACCAACTTGCTTTGTTCAACTTAAGAAACCCAAATCTTGCTGTGCTTTCCAGTCTTCGCGGCAACTAGCAGTTGTTTCTACCAAAAGAAATACAACAATGGCTGCTCTTAGCATAGTATCGACAATTGGCATCTCTGAGACATTTGCTAAATTGAAGAAAGAAGGCAAGGTAAGAATGTCATTTGAGTTTCTTGTTGTTTGTTAACGAATTCAATGACTATCCTTTTTGACTATTTACTTCATAATTTTCATTGTTTGTTGGTTTTTGGGTTGGAAGTTCATCTTGATGTGACACGACATGGTTGCTTTCTTGTTGAATCTTAGTTGAACTACTGATCAGTTTTATGCAAAGTGTTGGGAATAAGTAAGGTTCAGCAATTGTATCTAAGAGTTTGTTGTACCATTGTTAAGATCAACTCTCATTGCAACTAGTTCAAACTTGTGCAACTGGCTAATCAACATGTCGATTGATTTCCTATGATATCACTAGCTACTTTAGTTTTTGGCTATGATAGTAATTGGAAAAGCAGTAGGTAATGCTTTTGATTTTTCATCTTTTATTTTAATATAGGAGGGATGCTCTTTTTATGACAAATGTGTTCTTTCATTTTTGCGAAGGTGGCATTAATTCCTTACATCACGGCTGGTGACCCTGACCTTTCAACTACCGCACAAGCTTTGAAGGTGCTTGACTCATGTGGTTCAGATATAATTGAGCTGGGTGTTCCATATTCTGATCCTCTAGCAGATGGTCCAGTAATTCAGGTCTGTTATTTCAATATCTTATAGTTTGTTTATTCGAGGTATTGTTCCTTCGTCTCATAGATCTTCGTTTTTAGGCTGCAGCCACTCGAGCCTTGGCAAGGGGTACTAATTTTGATGCAATTATTTCCATGTTGAAGGAGGTAAGACTGTATGTTACTTCATGATTTCTGCCATACTCGAAGAGACTGATTAATCATTGCCAAATCTGTGGCTTCTTCTCCTTCTAATGGACAGTTCAAGGTCCAGTATGATTGATTCTAGTCACATTATATTTACTAACCCAGCCTTATCTTCTAATCAAAGAAATTAAATTTGTGATGCTGCTTTTGAAATTTTCCATATTATGTGTTACCCTGACCTTCAATTCCTGATGATAGCAAGTTAAACTTGCTTAACATAATACTAACTTTTAGGATGAAATTTCTCGGTAACATTACATCATATTGTTCTTTTCAGATTCAGTGCTCCAATTTTGTACTAGTGATCCTAGTAGTGTAGAAACAGTGATGTATATGTGCAACCATCCCTGGCAGTTGTAGAATGGTCACAGTACTGTTGATTTATATTTTGTTTCTTTCTTGCATATTTGAGATCTGTTCTGATGCTGCAGTTTTAAATTAATAGGTTGTCCCGCAATTGTCATCCCCTGTTGCTTTATTCTCATACTATAACCCAATTCTGAAGCGCGGAGTGGAGAAGTTCATGTCCATCGTTAATGATGCAGGGGTTCATGGTAATTTGCAAGTTTCCCTCTTGTCTTTTGACTTGAAACACTTACATCTACATATAACATTTTGGTTAAATTTAGTAATTTGAGGGAAAATAAGTTTTCATTTTTTCCCACAGCCTTGGCCAAGATGAGAGATCAGTTGAATGTATTCAATTTTGGATGTAGATGTCATGGTGTAAGCTAGCATTGTCATCATGCCTATCTAACTCGATTGCATAGTTCAGTTCTTAAACTTATCCATGTTTAGTTTTTCATTAAACATTTATTGAAAAAGCTATCAGGGGGATAATCACCAATGGATCAGATGAATAATACAGTCATAACATTATGAGCAAAAGCCAAAAGGTTATTTTGGAAATCTATCATGAAACTTTTTACCAAAAGTTACCCTTTGTGACCCTAGAAAAAGAGTGAGAAATCATTTAAACCAATTTTTGGCTTGGGCCAGTATGCAGATCAAATTGCCAGGACCGCTGGAATAAGTTTTCAATCATTATTACGGGTGTGAGGTGTTTTCTTTCTTTCTTCTTTCTTTCTTTATAGGTGAGATGAGTATAACTCATCAATTGAAGATCTCAATGGAAGTCTATATGCTATATAAGGAGCTGCTGGAGAATTTTCATGTTTGCTCTTCTTAAGTGATGCACCGATGTCTAAATTAAGCAGTAGTGATAATAATTTCGTAATAATAACGGAGGATGCTTTTTAAGTTGAAAAAGTAAAATCGGAAGTACATTCTTGTTCATCCATGGTCTCTAGATCTGTCTTAGTTTGTAATCTTGTCTGTGCCATTTTATTGTTTTTTTCAGGGCTTGTAGTTCCTGATGTTCCTTTGGAAGAGACTGAAATCTTAAGAAAGGAAGCTCTTAAGTACAAAATTGAACTGGTCTGTCCAACTCTTAAGACATCTTAACATTCTTCACCATTTACTTGTTTAAATTTTTGAGGATCACGTTTTGCACCATTTACTTGTTTAAATTCCTGAGGACGACACTATGCATTATGGATATAAATTCTAATTTTGGAATTAAAATAACAGATCTACCTCGAGCTTATTGACATCAGAAAATCGTAATTCTTCACATATTTTTGCTAATTGTTTCCCCATAACAAAATAAAAAGTCAAATGGTTCTTCACTTTGTGACTTTCTCATAGTTAGTTGTGCACCTTGTTTATCTTCTATGTCCATTTTGTTATTGTAGGATAGGTTTGTTTTCTGTTTTGTTGCAAAGTGTTGTACACGTCGACGAAAAGTTTACTACATAGGGCCTGCATTCTTATCCTTAAATGGCCTGTCTAAAAGTGTGATGAGGTCTGCTTTTGCTGATGTAATCTTGGCCTGCTTTGTTGAGGTCTGTTGAATCAAGTTAGCCTTACTCTAGCCTCTGTGACTATATGATTCAGGTGTTGCTTACTACACCTACTACTCCAACCAGTCGAATGAAAGCTATAGTTGAAGCCTCGGAAGGATTTATATATCTTGTAAGATCCTTTATGCTGCTCATCCTTTTCCAATGCTGATCATTTGTATTGATGATGAGTGTTTCTTATTTAAATTGATTCAGACTATTAGACAGAGATTGTATATTTTCCAATGAGAGTTTCCTTTTCCAATGCTGATAATTTGCATATTTTCTGTTTGTTTCGCGGAAAATGAACAATTTGGAGAAGACTTTCCTAACTTAAATCGTTTGATCTCAGAAAAATGAGTTAACGGAAAAAATTTCATTGTCGACCATATGTTTAGGCATAGACTGTCATTAATTCTGCATATATTTTTATTGACTCATTCATAAGCGATAGATAGCAAAACATTTTCGAATTGCTGGTTTCCCATGAAGCTGAAGGAGCCAATGTGACAGTGTCATTCGTGTTACTTTTATTTGGTGATCACTTTTGATTGCTAAAGGTTCTCTTTGTTCATTTGCACAAGTCATTTAGACAATTAATTCAGATCATAGCCGGCAGCGGACAGCAATAACCCTGTAATGGAAGTACTAAGGCACGAAAGTTCACTTTAGCTGGATGAAGTGGGGGAGATGAAGATTGTGAAAATACTTTCTGTTAATCTCTTCAACTCTTGTTGCTTGAGGCAGTGTACGTGCTTTAATCCAGCTAAAGTTGGCCTGAAAAATGAAATAGGGCTTCTTTGAAAGTGGCTACAACTATTTATATGGGACTTAACCCCTGGGCTAGTGCCATTTTTGTGGAACACGGATAAAATTGACAATCTGATTACACATATAATAACCTATGTATGTCATTTCTGTTGCATAACGTAAGCTACCGCTTACCAGTGTTGACTTGAATTAGATCAATGTGAAGCTCTCCAAATGGATGAATTCTACTCTACATGACCCAAAACTTATTAAAACACAAGTAAGAAGTATGAAGCCAATCCTGTGTACAAGTGTCGATATTACTTTGAACTTTTCTCGTGAATAAACTTTGTTGGTAGGATAGGACAAGTTTCATGTCTTAGTTAATTTGCGAGTAATGAAACAAGAGGGAGACCCCAGTCCGATTATCCTGCTTCACAACAGCAATTTAAATCTTTCTTTAAACCATCTTCTGCTTTGCTGTTTCGTTAAGTCTAACAATGTTCTGTATCTTTTACTTGACTGGAGTGTAGAGGAGTTGATCATGTTATTAATGTAATTGCTATTATCTCATGCGTTGATCATGTTCTAGCCGCTGATTAGTCAAGCATTGCGCATCTGTCTGAATCAGGGAAGTCAATGAAAGGACATACACATCCATGCAACAATGCGTGCCCGTGTGTATATATGCATAAGCAAGTCCCTGGATTAGGACAGTAGCTGATTTGAAGGGTTACGGCGACATTGATGTTGCTATAGTGGTTTCATTGCTCTTGCTGGTCTCTAATTGAAAAGTAAATTTTGGTTTCATGTAACATCATGCTATTAGATTCCACATTCACTTGCTTCACTGATGAAAGTTTCGCGTATAGTAAGCTTATAGCAACGGAACACGCATGAATTATATGCAATTGTTATTCTGGGTGGTCCAGTGTCAGCATTTTGCGTGACACTATTGTTTCATTTTTCTTTTTGAATTTCTGTGTTTTTTAGTTGATTCACAAAGAGATGACATGGCCATTATTTTATTTGTTATAGGTGAGCTCAGTGGGAGTAACTGGGGCTCGAGCATCTGTGAGTACTCGTGTGGAAACTCTTTTGCAGGACATTAAGGAGGTTAGTTGATTCAGAACATTTCGCTTGTTTCATAATGGGCGATTTCATGCCATCAACTACCTAGGAATACTCATTAAGATACTCATCATGATAAATTTAGTTTTCAGAGGATATTCTCATTTTCGGGATTGTCCTTACAATTGCAACAGAAATAAATTCAGTACAGCCTCAAATCCTTTGGGTGTGAGCAGCCTACATTTATGGCCATTTAAACATAATGGTAATAATGCATTCTTCAGAGAGCAGGAATTTAGTCCTTAGAGCTTCGGTTTCGTTCCTTTAATTGTTCTATGCAGCTTCAAACAAACCTTGGCCAGAGGTGTATTTGAAAGACACGACAGTGGGTGTCATATTGAAAGTTTTAGGGCTCAAAGAGAACTAGATGGCCAAAAAGTTTGCCTGAAGTCTCCTTTGTGGTTTTCTGTAGCCTGTCTTATTTGAAGGACAATGAGTTCCTGGTTGGTTGATAAGTCTAGATACCAATACTCCACATGCAGATTAATAATCAACATATCAGGAAGTTCATGTCACTTCCAGCTCCATCATGGGATTTATTCTTAGTATTCAATTAGAGAGACACTTAAAGATGGTCCTGTGTATATTCATTGACTTGTGGAACACCTCGTACCCATTTGAGTTGCTGTATTCTCCGAAGTTGGGCATGTTGGTGAATATGCTTCGATATTGTTAAACATTGAAGTGGGATAATCTCAGGGAAACTCTTTTTCAATCATTGAGGCATGCATGCTCTTGCAGGCAACTACTAAACCCGTAGCTGTTGGCTTTGGCATATCAACCCCTGAGCATGTGAAGCAGGTTAGTCTTTATTGGCCTACTTTGATGAGCAAAGACAGTTATATCTCGTGTTTGTACTCGGTTTTCATTCATTCTCGCAGGTTGCGAGCTGGGGAGCTGATGGTGTGATTGTTGGAAGCGCGATGGTGAGACTGCTGGGCGAAGCCAAATCTCCAGAAGAAGGGCTGAAGGAGCTCGAAGATTTCACTAGATCCTTGAAATCTGCGCTGCTTTGAGAGGGTTTTTGTTGATCTGACTGGCTTGTTAGCTCTTCATTTCAGCCTTTTGGACACAGTGGAGATTATTTAGATCAAACCCCTTCGGGGTTCCCTTAATTGTTACAGCATATGTTCGGTCCAAGAACTCTTTTGAATTTATGGGCCTTTTCGTCCCGGAAACCGGTTTTCAGTAAACTGCAATTTTCAGTCAGTACTCTGAAGAGCACCTTCACTTCTCAAAACGATTTGTGAGATTGATCTACTGTAAATTGCTGCATGAGACCCAAGTCCATTCGAATATTCCATTTGTGAATGATTTGAACTCAAAAATCGTAGTAGAGTCATCGCATTCCGGTTTACGTGTAAGTTGATTGTTACTGGAGATTCATAGGCTTCTCAACACTTTGATCTTGCTTTGAATCTGCCCATTCTAGTCACCTGCCCAACTATAATCTCTTGTTGCTGCGAGGAATATATATATATAGGGACTGCTCAGAAATATATTTCAGAATTATATATCGACGTTATATTTGGCGTTGACTCCGGTCAAATTCTCACCGAATTTTAATGACGTGCTCTCGGATGCAATGTATTCTGGAATACTTTTTTTATATTTATATCACTTGTTTGACGAATTTGCCTTGTGTAATTAGTCGTGTGCCGTGATCTACACATATGGTCGGAGTCGACATCGCCAGGGACACATTGCAGTCGATTTCTAACATTCACGGGGTGAATTGCGAAGGATTGAAAGGTGGAGGGGAAATTTGCAATAAAATTAAAAACTTTGGTAGTAATGTGTAATTAGCCTAATTATTATACCAAGAATTTTGTTTTTTTATTTGTTCTATCTCTAATTCTGCTCACTTTTTTACTATTACTTTGCCTCTTGCAAAGCGCGGAAATCGAACCCGACCCTTACGATACTAGCGTCTAGGGTGTGCAAAAGAACCGGGAACCGCCCAGATCGCTCGGAACTGGACCGGAACCGGTGGTTCCTAAGGGAACCGGTCCGGTTCCTGGTTCCAATATTTTGGAACCGGTGGGTACTGATCCGGTTCCCGGTTCTAGATGTGGAACCGGTAATATAATAATAATATATTATATTTATTTAATTTTTAATTAAAAAAAGAAAAAAAAAATCCTAAACCCCTAAACTAAAAGCGCTAATAACTTCACATTAAGCCGAGAAACACATTTTTTCGCTTTCGCCTCACGCTTATTCTCACTCTCTCACTCTTCTCGATCGATGCTTACCTCACCGTCTTTGACTCTCCGTCCTTGGCAGGCGGGATCGGTTCCTGGACCGGCGGTCCGGTTTCCGAGTGGATTCATGGAATCAACGGACGGTTTTCAATTTTAATTTTTCGGGAACCAAATCCCGAACGAGCGGTTTCCCGATTCTGGGATGAGAACTGTTCACCCGGATCATGCTCCCTCCTGCTACTAGCGCCCCTACCCCGAGCCCTCTGCCGCAGCAAGAACCTTCTTACGTGGCCCCGTTCTCCCTCACTAATCTCATTGCGGTTTGAAGCATTCAAAAAACATTTGACAGAGACTCTCTGTCTCTCTTGGCATCACCAAAAAGAGAAGAAGAAAGAATGGGATTTGAAGCTCTCAAGCTCTCGCCACTCTCCTCCTCCGCCAAGTCCATCCTCCTCTTCTCCACCGCCGCCGCCGCCGCCGCCGCCAAGCCCCCTCTCTCCACCCTCCTCCCCCCGCGCCCTTCCCTCCTCAAGACCCGCCTCGCGTCCTGCTCGACGAGGTCGCCCCCGCCTCGCCCCGCCGCCGCCGCCGCCGCCGCCGCTGCACATCGGGGGTTCGGCTGGTCGAGCCGTCCGAGGCGGGGCTTCCGCGGCGGGGTCGTCGTGGCCATGGCCGCGCCCGGGCCGGTCAGGAAGTCGGAGGAGGAGTGGCAGGCGGTCCTGTCGCCGGAGCAGTTCCGTATCCTGAGGCTGAAGGGCACGGAGTTAGTAGTTCCTTTGGTTTCTCTTAAGTTCTTTTCTTTTTGGATTTATTGATGTTTCTGCTGGATTATTTGGGTTCCTGCTCTTCTTGATGCCTCACTTTCCGTACTGGGTTGGGATTTGTTCGAGTTGGGTTGGTCTCGTTTGTGACGTAATCGCCATGCTGTCTCCTTGAAGCTCGGGGACACTGAGCAGCGAGCTTTGGAACACAATTCTGTTCGACTGAGGCTGTCTCGGGCTGTCTATTTATGCGACCGCGCGAAAGATTTTCGCAAGTTTGTGCGACGATGTAATGTGTTGAATCGGAAATGGGTTTTGAGTGCAGCACATTTCTAGCGTGTTGAGCGGTGTGTGTAGGAAGTGGATTCTTTGTGAATTACTTTTATTTGGAGAACCCACTGAGGAAATGCAGGTGTTCTCTGTGTTTTTCGAGGTGCTGGGGAGGGTTATATTTTCCTGGGTTTTTTTGTGGGAATGAGCTGTGTTAGCTATTACTTAAGTTCTCTGGTACTGTCCTGTGTTTGGAAAGACTTGGTTTTTGTTTGTAAATATGTCGGCCTCTTTAGGTTCCTTTGGGTGCTAAGGATTTGTTGCTACATGAGTACCGAAATCTTGGTTACTTATGAAGTCTTATGCTTTTGACTGTTCATCAAAACAAAGGTGAAGAGGTGTCGAAATCACCCTAAAGTGTGAATCATAGGGTTATTTATAGATATTGTTATGTCAACGATTCCATCATTTGATTTAATCAAAGTCACAGCTAAACCTCGAGCCAAAAAGCGACTCTCAGAAAACCAAGCCATCCCAGACTTTTTGGACAGAAAAAAACTCAAAAGAATCAGTTGGTTCGAATCTTTGTGTTTTGAAGAGCTATTTTTTTAAAAATTTTGTTTCTCAAAACAACTGCTGTCTATCTGTGTAAGGGAGTGGAAGTCAGTCCAGAATGATCTCCATTTTGACTTTTGTAATGCTTTTGCATTCCCTCTGTGTAATGCTCTTTCTGTACATCTCTGTATCTTGTTTCTATTCATTTTACTTTGATTGTTTGAAGGGTCTCTTAATCTTTTAAAATAAGAAAGCGATGCAGAGCCAGTAGTCAAGCTCCTAAACTACTAGCTCATAGCACGTCCTCAATACATTATAGACATATGCAGGATATATGACGGATCAAGGGACGAAGTTCCTAATCCTGTTTTCAAGAGAATCTCAGCACTAAGAATCATGTCCTCATGTTAGTGCTGCAGCATTTTAGAAAATCATTTATTTGTCATTCTCATGATCGTACTGTTACCATCGATTGCCCTTAAGGCTGATCGTGATATCTGAAGTTCTTATCAACCCTCTTTGTGGGGCTTTCGTGCTTTAGTAATCAATCATTTGATGACCTTGTGCACCTGATGGACTTCAGTTTGGTACTACGCATTGCTCGGGCAAACAATCCTTTTCGTGTGGTTTTGGATAGTATTAGCTTGTGGAGGTGTTATACATACAAACAATCCTCTTTGACTATTCTTAACGGCTTGGAAATGATCAGAGAGGACTTAAAAGTCGCCAAGCCTAATGCAAGTAGTTGAAGACTCATATATATATATTCTTTTTGAACGCAATCTCATCCTCTTTCTAATTCTAGTAATAAACCAATGGAGAATAAAGGAGCATAAATGAGTACTTTTCGATGCCTCCTCTGCTATGTTTTTGTACAACAAGCAACTCTTTCTCTGGTTTGATATCGGGGGGTATCATGTGTGGTAAATCTTGGACACACACACATATATATTAATGTATTATCTAAGAACAAAGACGTGTGACCAAAAAAAAAAAAAAAGAACAAAGACGTGTTATCTTGATCTGTTGATCCTTCTCATTTTTTGCTGTTCCTCTAACATGTAGATATCCAGGCACGGGTGAATACGACAAGTATTTTGAAGAGGGGGTGTACACTTGCGCAGGATGCGGGACTCCTCTTTACAGGTCCACAACTAAATTTAACTCCGGCTGCGGCTGGCCTGCTTTCTACGAGGGTCTCCCAGGAGCTATAAACTGCATTGTGAGTTTCTTTTCTCTTTTGCTCATCAGTTAAACGTGTTGGTCATGAGTATTGACAGACAATTCTTACTAAGTTGATTTCTATGAAGGCTCGCTCTTCATGTCATCTCCCATATTGTATTTGTGGGGTTTTCTGGACGGTGAAAATGAAAAATTTATTGGGCGTGCTCTGTGATTTCAGCTGGATCCAGATGGCATGAGGACGGAAATCACTTGTGCTGCGTGCGGCGGCCATCTGGGTCACGTGTTCAAGGGCGAAGGCTTCCCAACACCGACCGACGAGCGACATTGCGTCAATAGTATTTCACTCAAGTTTGTTCCCGCCAACTCTTATCCTTCCCAGTGAACTTCTGCAGCAAGACAGTTCATTCACCGGATGCGGCCTTCAACTGCTATCGTCATCTTAGATTGTTTGCTTCCGATCTCCACACTATGTACATCAAGCCCTTTCTGTAAATCTTCTCGATCTGGATCGAAACCGCATATTTGCTGCCATCTCTCAAGTAATAAAAAGTCAAAATCTTTATTCTTGTTATCATCTTGCAGATGCTTCTTGCCGAACTGTTCTAATGCGTGACATGGTGAAAAGGTTGTGCTTAATGTAATCAATCACTATATACGTATAATGGAATGAACTTCAAACATTTAAGTAATAAAGTTAACCTTTTGTTGCGCTTATGAAATTTTGATAGGATTTTTATTAGGCTCCCTGTTAGGGTAAAAAGCAACTTACGACCCTTGCCATTGAATTATTGACATGCGGAAGAATTCGGTCGCTTCTCGAACATCGGAATGTGTAAATAATTTGTTTTGATGACGTGAAAATAAATTGGACACAAATAAATGATTTTCCAATATGCTTAATCTAAGTACTTTTCAGACTACTATTAGCTACTACTTATTTTTATTTTTTACTCTTCGAGTGGGTGATAATTCTCCGGTGAGATGTCTCAATCATACATGATATCAGTATGCTTAAAAGGAATGAAGAAGTATTGATCCCCTGGCAACTGGGAGAAATAAAAATGCCAAGCAGTGAAGGCAATCAAGTTGATGTATACTGACATTTGCAAGTTGCAAATTTTACTCTTTTTGACGTGAGATGAGGTTCTGCCTGATATAGACAATTGCGATATTCTTTATTTGCTTTGGACTATAAGTGATTTTAGGATATAGGTCGTTTTGGTTCGGTTCCCCCTATAGAACTGGAAACCAGACCGTTTAAACACCGATTTTACTTATAGAAATTGGAAATCGGACCGATACTCCTAGGAACCGAACCTAATTGACCAGTTCGATTCGGTCTGAACGGTTCCCGGTTCGGGCGGTCCGTTTTGCACACCCTTAATTCTTCATGAGAAAAAAGCAATTGCCAACCTAGGAACTTTTGCGTGTGGTTAGTAATTTACATAGACAAAAGTTTGTTCGAATACATCACTGGTCATAATAAGTAACCTTTCTAATGCGGCGTATGACTTATGCAAGTAACTATTTATTTACCAATAACTAGTGGGTTTATCTCTTCATTCAAGTTATTTTTCTTATCAATTAAGTCTCCAACGTACAAAATTGAAAGCCCATTTACCCAATTGCCCAATTTTTTTTTGAAATTGAAATTGATCCGACGGCCTACATTACGTTGTTAGAATTCAATGATTCTAACTACACAACAGTATCGCACAGAATCCATGATCTCAAATTCATTCAAAGGGTGTTCCCGTAAATATCATCACGCTATCAACATACGCAACAATCCACGTGGCGGCCACGTCAGCGCCGGCGGCGGAAATCGTCATCCATCCATCCAGGCAAGAAGAGCAAGGATCCAAAAGAATCTCTCTCCCGCATCGCGGGCGCTCGCATTTCCTCCACAATCTCTCTCTCGCTCTCTAGCTTCCTGCTTCGCGGCTTCGTCACAGCCTCACCTTCGCTCCCCGCCCCCCTTCAAAACTCGCGAGGGAGGACGACCCACGAAGAGCTGAGATCGGTTCTTGGTGCGGAGCTCCCGCATGCGCTTGAGCTCCTCCTGCCGCCATGTGGGAACCGCTCAACCTGGGTCACGTCCCGAGGGTACGTACCCTCTTCGCTTGCCGGTTCTGGGTTCACCCGTCTGCGCGCGCTTGCTTGGCTGTTTCGTCCATTTTTTTGTGAGCATCTGTTCTTGGGGTCGTTGAGAATTTGTGCCCAGAAACCGCCTTAGGATTGCCCAAGCGCCTGTGGGGCCGCCGTGTGAAACGGCTGTGAGTGTTTCGGAAGATGGGTTGGTTCCATATGATTATTTCGACTGCTCAGTGCTGCTTGGGATCTCTTTTGCATACCGAGCAGTCCGATGTAGGAATGCTCCTGTTTGTAAAGTGACCCACGATACAGATTCTTTGTTTCTTCCACTTGTGTGTTATAAGCATCGTATAGATTAGCATCATTCTTGGCTATGACGGTACCATGGTTGATTGAAGTGATGCTATGTGTTACCCCTTTCTCAACTTGCAGGGATATGGCATGGTGAAGCATGGTTTCGCTGCCCCCATCTCATGTGGCTGTGGACATTCTTTGAAGAATTCGTATTCCTCTAGCCAGCAAGTCCGTGCGCCACCTTTCGCCTTAAAGTATCGGATTGGTCGCCGCTCGTTTGTTTCAGGAGATACCTGTGAATATATAAGTTTGCTGACTTCCTCAAGATTGGGTCAGAGGCAACTTCGTCGCGGCAATTATAGGCTGGGCCGTTCTGGAAGAGCACGGATACGAGCGACGATTGATGTCGCTAGTGCTGTTGATGTCATCAATGATTTGGGAATGGATACTCTTACATTTTTAGCAGTGACTGTAGCAGTCGTCCCAACATTCAAGTTACTCAAAGCGAGTCCTGTAAGAAATACCTTTTGATTCATACTTATCTCTTTTGGTGTTGGGGCCTACCAATGGTCCTCATGCGTTGACCACACGCACATGTTTGTTAGTTGAGTACATTAACAGTAAGTCTAAAATTCACTATGTTATGTCAAAGGGAAAGAAGAATATTAACCACTTAGGTCGTTAGTTGATATAAGCCTGACTTCAGCAATAATTGTTGGTAAAGTGCAAGGTGCTTCCTTTAATTTCCTCTGTCCCACCTACTTAGGAGGTTGTTGTGCTATGGGCCACGGCCATCAGAATCTTTGTTTTCACAGCATGTGAACCAGTTTGCGACTGTCCTCAATCAAACAGACCATGCATACCTGCATAAACTGATCTTTTTTAATTGAAACATTCAAGTCTCTTATTGCAAGATTCTATATGGATGGAGGCATGATTGGTCTAAGAGCTATTGTTGTGTCTTCAGATACTTGGTTTCTTCTTTGCCGGAATTGTACTTAATCAGTTTGGATTTATAAGAAATCTCACAGATGTCAAAGTGCTGTCTGAATGGGGCATCCTTTTCCTGGTAAGCTAGTTTCTCTCTGCCGATAATCTGAATTATTGTATCATCTTTTTCTTTTTGTCGCAATTAATGATGTTTCTAACTTTTATTAGTCACTATTTTCTGAAAGAATCGTTACTTTAAGTGTGGCCACCCTCACTTAGCAGCAAGGGAACAAGTGAAAGTAATGATACGTCGCGATGTTTCTCTTTCAATCAAGCTTCTAATTTCTTTAATTGGATGACACAATACGTTCAATAGATATCCAAGTCCCATCTATTGTTTGCATCTTGGGTCTAGGGTGTGGAGTGCGCATCAAGAAGACTGACCCTTAGCTTGATTGCACAAACTTCCACCTCCATTAGTGACCATTCCTATGTCAAGAAGTTGGAATTGTCCATTTTTGTGTTTTTAATTGAAGTGTGAGCAACTTATCACTTACTCATATTCTAGACATGATAGTAAGTTGGGAAATGCGTTGTCTTGAATTTTTCTGGCAAGTGTTGCATTTCAAGATCAGGAGGGACAATGATTTCCCATCTGCTGTCTTCGTTTTGGTAATTTGAGCCAAAAACACTAAGGTGATATCTTGAAGAAAGATCTTGAGCACTTCCAACATGGTGATCCATGTGACTCCACTTAATAAGTGGCTTTGATTTACTATTTTCCTTCTTTTTTCCCTCTAGATATTCAACTTTATTATTAACCAGTGGAGCAAGATACGCATGTAAATAGATATATCTCATCTATCATGTTCTTTATGGACATGACTCTACTCATGAAAGAACCATGCATCTTCCTCTCCAGCTGTTCGAGATGGGATTGGAGCTATCACTTGCACGCTTAAAAGCTCTTGCAAAGTTCGCCTTTGGCATGGGATTGACTCAGGTAAAGTGTTGTAACATTGCATGAATTACAGTTTGAGGTGAAACTTTGGAGGTCCAATCCCTTTTACTATTCGGCATCTTACTTTCTTTCTCAAGAGTCATATCACATTTTGACATTCCATTTGTTTTCACCTTAAAGGTCTTGTTATCCACTCTGGCTTTCACGGCATTTGAACTTCCACCTAATGGAGCTGTAGGAACAAAAATTCTAGAGTTCCTTTTCCACTCAAGGCCAGATTTGGTGAGTATGTTGTCGACGGAGTAACAATATATTGCATCTACCACAATACGTGGCTTCATGCTAATGCTTGTATATTGTGTCTTAAAACCATCTCATTTGTCACAAACATTCCAGCACAATATTTCACTCACATATATATTTTCTGTGGGTCCTTAAATGTTTTCTCATGTTCTTAAATTTCAAAGATTTTGTTATTATGCTCACCTTAAGCTTGCCTTAAATTTGAATGGTAGGCTTGAGTACTTGCTCAGCAGGCTGACTGCTTATTTTTGGTGCTCATGCCTATCTACTTATGAAGCCGTCACCTAGTAGAATATGGAGAAAGTGCTTCATCTTAAATAATGAAGATTCTTTTATTGCACCGTTGCTGAAGATTGCTTTGGCTTTTAAATTGTAAAAACTATCGCACTGGGATTGCCCAAGGTCCATACTGTGGATCCTTGTGTTGCTTTTTAATTGACCAAACTTTGTAAATTGCAGGTGAACATCAGAACTGTGGATGAGGCAATAGTGATTGGTGCTGCTCTCTCTCTATCTTCTTCTGCTTTTGTCTTGCAGGTAGTTAAATTTTCAGAAATCATGATTTATTTGGTATATGCACTTTTCGTTATTCATACAGTTGGACTTTGCCCTACTTCTTGCCAATTATGAGATTATGGTTGGATGAATGCATAGAATGGTATGGCAATATAGAGACCTTACTAGATACTTATCACTAAAAAATGTAATTGAAGATGATACATAGAATATAATGCATGAACTTGTTCTCCCTGTCCTAAGCTCTTATTTTTATTTCTTTTTTTGTCCTGTCAGTGTGTGACGTCAGAGTCATTCTTGTGACCGCTGATGGCAGAATAATATGATCTTATTGATGCTTCTTTGATATAGTTGTACAGATTTTATTCGTCTCGTGAGCATTTGCTCGTTAGAAATCAATCTTCCAGGTTTCAAGAGTTTGCTAAAAATAATGTGTAGCTTCTTGCAGAGAAAGGTGAGCTGGCAACGAGATT